CGGCCGTAACTTACTACATTTTCTTTCCTACCTAACTTAAACTTTTTTACTTTACCTTTAACCTTTAACTTTTTACTTTGTTGCTCGCTTGTTGTCTACTATATATATACACACACACACACACACACACACCTTGCCTAACTGAGGCCCTTGAACTTTCTACAAACTACAAGATAGCCGATGACTTAATAATACTCACTTGAATGAAAAGAAAAATACCAAAAGTTCAAGTAACGTGATGTCAACAATATTACTAAAGCCTAGTACAACAATCAACTGCATACACAACATATGATTTGTACCGAGTTATGTCATAACTATCACTTTTAAAATAATTAACTTTAACACTCTTATTAGGAAAACTAAATACTCATTAAATATTAAATCACAAAATAAACTAAATAATAATGCTTGCACTAAACAGTCTTGTATGTCCAACATCTGGAAACTATTATTACAGAAGAATATATGCTGACAGGCTAGGCTAGTTTTCACTAAGAGCTGTTAAACATTATAGAGCTAAACAAAATAATCATTGTATGTTGAATATCTTAATCAGTTAATATGAATAACATATAATGATAATTGTAATAGAAAAAACTATTGCAAGAGATTTACTTTGATGCCTGAAAACTATTGATTTGACATGGCTCAATTATTATTCATCACTGGTGGTATTTAGTAGGTCATCAGAATGGCAGAAGGTGTGTAAGAATTGCTATAGTTGTCCACAAAGCTTCCATGTGATGATGAACGTTTTAAAGTTTGCAGACGTTTTAACAGAATTTAAATATTTTATCAAGAAGTACACGTAGATAATAAAACCAATAATAATATTGATACTTTTCATGAATGATGTTCACTATGGAGATCAGAGCATAAAACCCAACATTTTTAAATTAAAATTAATATTTTTTTTATTGTTTTTGTTCATTATGATTTAAAATAATAATTTCTTACCAAAATAAAAACTTTCAGGTAAATATAAATACTTTGAAATAAAGAAAAGTTCAGTAAAAATAACTTTAGTTTGTATAATATAAAACTATAAGTATTTTGTTATTACTGTACAAGGCGTTAGTCTTGTCCAGAGTTTATGATCTTTGGTGTACAAAATGAGGAAAACTTTATGTGTATGTACAGTACCATATAAAGTGAATAAGATATTATGCTGCTGTTTTAACTTTGTTCTTTGAGAGATTGTACTTTTATGTTCAAAGTAAACTATCAGAAGTAAACCATTATTTGAATTCTCATGTATGCAGAACTTAGCTCAAAGCATTGAATAAAAACCTAATCATAACATTAGTTGATAGTTTTCATGTTGGCATTACATGGATTTGAGTTACCATATAAAAGAAAGGAAAGGTGGTAACATAAAGTACTAATATTTATTAATAGTGTGTTAGATAGATCTATATAATAAATTGAATTACACAACAAATCTACAATACATTTTTTTATGTGTTTCTTATATAATCTTATGGTTTTAAGTTTCACTGGTAAGTTTAGGGTATAGTGTCCTCCTCATTTAAAATTCACAGTAAATTAATTGAAAAGAAAGTTAGAACTTCTCTTTGGTAAAAATATGGAAACAAAAAACTACTTATGAACTGTAAGAGTCTGTTTGTTTATAATTGAAATATTTCTCCATGACAATTTAAATTTAGAATGTAAAAATCTTTATTGTGTTAAGCTTTCACATAGTTACATTTGTAACTACTATTATATTGTAGCTTAAACACAGATCTCATGAAACTTAAAGCATATGTTTTTGAGATTAGCACTCAAGAACCAGTTCTAGCTTTTTGAAACTTACCTAATTACTTCCTATTGAAGGTATTAGTCATAGATTAGATTTTGTAAATGCTACATTTTTTGCCTCTTTGTTGTATACAGAACAACACCTCAAGTTGTCTTCTGGCAGTGGATTAACCAGTCTTTCAATGCTATAGTCAACTACACCAACCGTAGTGGAGATTCTCCTATTCCTTTGCCGTATGTTGGTTTTGGTTTTTAGATCAGTTGTTACACAAGTCACTCTACCTAAATAATTTAATGATGCTTTATCTTTCTAACATGAGGTACATTTATAACAAACAAGACTTTATATACATAATATATTAAAGGTATAAAGCAATGAATATATTGTTGCTCTAAAACTTTATGAGAAAAATATTTACTCTTGTTATATCAAATAGAATGATATAGAGATAAGGAAAAAACTCAATGGCTTAGATTAAAAAAAAAGATGTGTGAAATCCACAATATTTTTGTATTAAGTTATTACTATTGATAAAATCATATTCCAAGCTATTACTTTGGTATGCAAGGATAATGAGAAGTATTTCTGTTGTTACTCACCAGGTTTGTACATGTTCTTTCTTTCATATAACACAGGCCTGCAAATTTAAACTTCATAAAAGTAATAATAATGGCTTTTCCTTAATTCAACTTTGCAAATTTCAAAA